ATAAGTGATGTTGTTTATTATATACGATTGATGTATTGACCCTGTTGTAGACAAATCAGAAAATTTTGCAAGCCATGTTTACTCTTCTGATTTGATTAAATGGTATTTAGCATTGATAAAATTCTTTGGAAAAGTTTGTTTAAATTGTTAATGCAAACGATAATCCAGTACATAGAAAGAAATCTTACGTCTATAATAAATTTTGTATTTGTTTTAAAGAAATTGTTAAATTAAAAACTATCAAAACAGCTAAGGTGTTTGTGGAACACTTTAAAAATGTATCATAAACATTTGGGGTCATCTCTTGGTGTCGGATAAAAAAACAAGCCAATTGGAACCTAGACCTCATTTCCTTTTGTATTTCGTTAAGTTTGTTGTAGTAAAATCTTTTTAATAACAGTCATGTCTTTTTAAAACAGTTGCAAGATGACCTTTACACATGCCTTGCTTCTGGCATTGTACTATTCGATTCTTGGCTTTGTTTGACTTCTTTTCATACAAAATAATTACATTTGTACTGTACAACTGCATGTTACATTGCTTTCAATGTACCTTACCTTTTACTAAAGATATTTGAGCCGCGTCACGACAAAACCAACATAATGCATTTGCGACCAGCATGGATCCAGATCAGCCTGCGCATCCGCGCAGTCTGATCAGGATCCATACTGTTCGCTGTAAGTTTCTCCACTTGTAATAGAGTTGGTAAGCGAACAGCATGGATCCTGATCAGAATGCGCGGATGCGCAGGCTGATTGGTCTGCTGGGCGCAAAACCCCCATTTGGGTTTTTTCTCCGGTCATTTTTAAGGGGCAAAAATTAATTTACAAAAGAAACACAAAAAAAAAAACAAAACAATCCTTTATGTCATGAAAAAAAATTCTCACTCACCAGAAAAAATGAAAAGGGAAACCCAAACGTACAGAAAATTTAAAAACTCTCGAACCCCATTACGTGATTCCAACGATTTAAAAAAGAACATGAAAACTGCGAATTTTATATTACCCAAAAGGAAAAAAGTTACTCCCTTGCTTGTTTTTTTCCCCTACTTAAAATATGAATTGTTTCGCATAGTCAACACTTTAAACATATTGAAAAATTCTAAATGTTAAATTGTTGCGTGCAATATTTATATAATAACAGTATAAATGAATTGCTTCATTTATAGATACGTATTTCATGTTATCTTGTTACATACAATATTTATATCATTTACAATATAAATACATGTATACATTACAATTAAAAATACGTATTTCAAATTTGATAAAATTGCATCAACGGCTTTGGAAAACATGTATAACAATTGTCAATATGAATGAGGCAAGTTCAAGTGTTTGTAGAGTAGGGATGAGTTCTATACAGAGTGTCATGTATCCGGCCTCTTCACTTAGTCTGTGTATAGGCGTCAGTTTCACATTATTTATTAGCACTTGACTTACGTTCGTAATGTTATGACATCAACGAGAAAATGCCTTCATTGTTGATTGCTTTTTTTTTTATTTCACTGAGGTATATTCTAGATTGTCCTGTCTTGTTAAATCTTCTTTTGACATCCTGTATAAGAAATGATTTAATTGAGTGGTTATTCAATAATATATATTAATTGTATTTATTTTTTTATTTTGTTTATTTATCTATTTATTTATATTTATATTTTTATTTTCTATTTTATCCATTTTTTTATCTTTATATTTATTTATTACATATTTATTTGATTTACTGTTTTTTTTTATCAATATAATATTTGTTTATTTTTCTTTCATCATGATTATTTATTTATTTATTTATCTATCTTTTTTCTATTTATTTATTTGTAAATATTATTAATTAAGTTAGTTAGTTAGACAGTTAGTTAGTTAGTTAGTTAATTAGTTAGTTAGTTAGTTAGTTAGTTAGTTTGTTAGTTAGTTAGTTAGTTAGTTAGTTAGTTAGTTAGTTAGTTAGTTAGTTAATTAGTTAGTTAGTTAGTTAGTTAGTTAGTTAGTTAGTTAGTTAGTTAGTTAGTTAGTAAGTTAGTTAGTTAGTTAGTTAGTTAGTTAGTTAGTTAGTTAGTTAGTTAGTTTGTTTGTTGATTCTTTCTTTCTTTCTTTCTTTCTTTCTTTCTTTCTTTCTTTCTTTCTTTCTTTCTTTATTTCTTTATTTAAATATCTTATTTATATACTAGTATTTATTTATTTATTTCTTTTATACATTTATTGACGTTCATTTTTTTTTGGGGGGGGGGGAAGGGGGGGGGGTGGCGACTTTTATTCTGCCTTATTTTTTTCATTTTGCTTAATTGTTATATTTATGCAACTTAAATGTTCTCCCTGCTAACAGTTTGTTCCGTGTTCTATTCACAGGGCATTTCATTGCTTATTAATTTATGAACATTCTTACATAAAAATCTTCAAACGACAATGTAGCCTGATAAATGTACATGTTTATTTGTTTTAGGACCTATTTCTCATTTGTATGCATAACGACAAATAAATACAGCACGTACTATTGTTATCATTTCAATAACTAACAAAAACAATGCGGATATGTGTGTGTAAATGTCGTAGGCTTATCCATAACCGGTTATTTCTCATTTTATCTGTAATGAACCGAAACAAGGCTCTTTCTGAAGTACAAGCCTGCAGTTAAAGCTTATTTCCTTATGGGTATGCAAATATACCCTTTTAATTGTTTTCTTATAACATTTCGTTTTCTTGAAAAAAAATCCTCAGGTCTATCTTAATCGAATTGATTTAACTTTGAGACAAAAAGGAATTACGAATATTTTACAGCTGACATTAATAGTTACATCACCGTTAACATGTTTGGTTTATTTATCGAGATATGGAATTTTTGCCCGTCCAATACCTCGGGCTTTATTAATTGACCCCTGCGATTTTAAATTTATCATAGCTTTGAAAGAGCCAAGTTTGGTAAACAACAATAGCATGTACTCTAGAAATAAAGCTATATTTCCTAAAATAACATGTAACTATTTGTACGCATATAGGATACAATGCCCGGAGCTCATCTCATTAATTCTAACTATTCCTTATCGTTATTCTCACATTGTTTGGACATCTACTTACAGAATACTTGTGTTTTGATGAAAATGACCATGGACATTTCTCTGGTATAAAAGGATCAGAACTAATGGTCATCAAACAAAATACTTTGACAAACTCATCTCATTCACTCTAGTGAAATGATTTCAGTTTCCTTAAGAGGGCAATGCACTTAAGTTGTTAAAGAATGACGAACGAGTCTGTACTTTTAATCTTTTCAGAACGGATACAAATATATCTCGTGTCCATTTTGCAGTAATTTAGTTGTCTTCATGAATTACTTTAAGTTTTATAGCATCGTAATTTGAAACATTGAAACACGGATAAAGTTATGCTTTCTCTGGCTTTGTTTGGTTTCTTCTTAGGTACCTTACCGGTGACCATGTGTGGCTGGGTTTTATCGATGGCTGCGTTTAACCCGTTCAACTCCGTCGCCATACGTTTTTGACCTTTATTCAAATATTTTACAAACATCATGCTCTAATTTAGCTTGACTAAAAGGATAAACTTGTTGTTCTTTTGACATACATTATCTTTGTTTTGTTATTATATTATTATGAGGTTAATCGTATCATCGACAAACTAATTGAGGAATTCAAATACTTCACTATAGTATAGTATTTATAAGATTCTATTTCCGGGTGTAAAGCGAGTATAAGAGGGCTGTTTCTTAAGTTACGTTGTATTCATGAAGATATAATACATTGTAACTAACTAACTAACTAACTAACTAACTAACTAACTAACTAACGAACTAACTAACTAACTAACGCAATGTAGATAATAATGTTATTCTTAAACTTATTCTGCTTTTTGTGTAGGCAAAATGGCTAATTTCAAATTCAACCCTTTTAACTTTTTTGTATACTGTGATGTCATAACAGTGACATCATTCTTATCCAGGTTTTTTGGTGAGTTTACTGGTAAAAGTTAAAATAAATTGACACTTTGCCATAATTCCTATTAATTTTACAATATTACTTCGCACACATGAACGATAAATAACTCACGGGGCCCATGGGACTTTAACTGGAGCGTTTAACTCATTAAACGAATGGGTCAGTCGTTCTATATTTTAGACCGACACATTTTATCCGAAACATTTTCCAATATCAAGTGTTGGCCAGTCACCATTATAACAGACGGTGATTTTTTTAACTATAATATCAATTTAGCTCAAGTCAACAATAAAAACATTGCATAATATCACTTTAAGAAAGGGACTTCTTTAACTAAAATCGTTCTTTTCTAGACTCAAATGTAAATATGTATTAATTCGTGTCTGTAGTTTTATTATTAGGGTATTTTTCTAGTTTATTCATATTTCATTTATTCATATGAGGCTTTTGTGAATTATGAAATTTGATTTATTATCAAGTGTCACATAAATTGCATTCTTAAAGTCGTCCTTGTGTAATTGTATTCATTATTATAATCACTTTTGGTTATACTTTTGACAACTGCTTTTTTAGCTCAGTGTTCTTGGCCGTTGTTTCTTTCGCTTGTATTGGAAGGTTCCGAGTTCGAATCTAAGCCACGGCAGGATAATTGCTGATGTATTCGCATCATTCTGCACGAACTAAATATTTGTACGAACATATATATTAAATTACATTGTCGTTTACGCTTACATTAACAATGGTTGTTTATACACAGTACTTGTTTGAAGTTTGATTCAAAGTTCACTTTTTGAATTCACTTTTCTTTGGAATTGTTGAAATAAGTTCAAACGATATTGCATGCAACGATCACTATCTTTTGCCTTAGAGTTACTAGTATTTCATAAAGCAATCAATCCAAGCAATATGGTTGAATACGAATCTCTTGTTTGTTCTTTTTTAAATCATAACTTATTCATCGCCCCATCACAATATTGTACTTTTTTCGGAAGTTGATCCCATCGTTGACATTTGATGTCATATGTAATAAATGTACGAAACACTTTTATTACGCCAATAGCGGATTCAAGTATTTTGAATGTTTACAGTTTGATAAATGGAATGGAAAAATAGTTAATAGTATTATTAAAATATCAGGATTGTTACGAGATTTTTTTTACAACAATTAGTTAAACATTAAGCAATGGATAGTATAAAACTCAGATTACGTTTGAATGGACATGCAAGGTCTTATTCCATGAAGGAAAGAAGATCCCTTGCGTTGAGCAGAGCTCGGATGGTTGGGAGTCAACCTACTCTGTCCAACTACAGCCCAACTAAACTCGAACGACGGTATACTTGGAAAGACGGCGATAGACAAACTCAACCCACAAGGTATGCTGTAAAATAAATTATGTCTTCAAGCTGCACGCCTCCAGATGAGCAAAAATATTTCAATAAAACCAAACCTGAGAAAAATGTACTAATATTTTAGGAACAGTAAAAAAATAAAAATTCCAGTAATAATTTACATGTTACGTGCGTTTAATGACTGATTTTTTGGTATTTACAACTATATTTCGACTGCGTTACAAACGCAGTAAACGCTTTTATGCATATTTTGACCACTTTTTGATAATTTACGTGGTTTGTAAGTGTTATTGATAATGTATAAATTGCTTCCTTTTTGGTTAATTCACAATATTACACATTCAAATACATTTTTCAAAAAATTCATGAAAATTAGAGTCTGAATCTGGAGGCATGCTGCTTTAATAAAATACAACATAAAACTGATTTTTTTCATCACTGCCAAATAATGTGGTGCTATAATGTCACGGTAATTGCAAGTAAGACTTAAAGTATAACAAGGAAAACCTCGTTCAATTTAAATATTTGAATGTTGTGTTCCTAATATAGCTTATTTGGTTTCGCTAATATTTACAAAATGCAAATGATTTTAGGGCCATTTTTCATAAAGTACATTTCGTTTGGTACGCATAGCCAGCGATATGCAATTTGATAATTTAGATAATCCAAAATTTACTTCACATAATTTATACATTCTTTTGACTATGTGCGGATAAATACGGTGTTCCGTTTGGACAATCGTGATTTTTTTATTTCGTTGGCGATGGCGCGACGTAGCGATGGTACGATGGTGAAAACGCGACGGTACGACGATGAAATCGCAATGGTTCGGTGATGAAAACGCGGTTTTCACTATCGTACCATCGCAACATCGCGATTTTACCATCGTACCATCGGTTTTCCCCATTGTAACAAAGTGTTTTCATCATCGTGTCATCGTGTCATTATACCATCGCATTTTCACCATCGTACCATCATGCATCGCGGGTAAGGACGAGATAAAAACAATCACGATTGTTCAAAATATTAATTGCGTCACTTTAAGTGGCGAGTGTATAATGTTTTACGTGGCTGTGCTTGTGTAAAATATAGATTTTTATCATTGGGTAAAAAGTATTATAAAAAATATTCCCGCGATAAAGTTGAAGCGCATGCGCAGAGGCATCGGTCTAGTTTGCTAAAGCTCTCAAATACAATATTGGAATAATAAATAACAGGCAACGTTTCATTTAATGATAAGCAACAACACCTTTTAAAGGATAACATGGTGTGTTTTTACTTGATCTTAACTGTGAAAATGCCTTTATACGGCCTTGTATTTTGCCTTAAAAGCACCTGTTTCAAAGGGTTCAAAGGAGGAAAAAATGCCTTTCAATTTCTATTCTCGTTTCGAAGCTGCTAATAGGTTAACCAGTCTATAATTGCAGTGTTGCTATATATTTCTCGTCCTTTGGAAATATTAAATTCAGTGTTTTAAGGGTAATGGATTGAAAACCTCTTAAGCCGGTGCTAGGGGGGGTGAGATGTTGTACTTTCCATTATCTATCATGAATAGACTCAAAAACACTCGAGTCAGCAATTTTCATCTTTTTGTTTTAATTTCGCTGCTCATGGGGGTCTCCTTTCTATCCAAAACAAATATGAAGCACGAATTCAAGATTCGCTTTACAGAAGAAATAATCATTATCAATGGAAACAATCAAGTGTATTTTAAGTAGCATGTAATGAAAATATTAATATAGCTGCATGAGCTACTTTCTGTGTTTGATATACTTTTTGTACAGATCTAATAATGGTCCAATGGGATGAACAATTGTTCAATAATGATCTTGTTGCTGTAGATATGATTACAGTTGAAACGTTAAGTTCATATTATGAAGCCCCATTGGAGGAAATTAAAACAACTGCTTTAGATAATCAATGTTCCTACTCGGACAGTTTTAATATTGAATCAGATGTTGAATAAGTGTTGAAGCATTTGATGCTTACAAGAAATAGTAGTTAAGGTGGCCTTCAGTTTTTATTTTCTGTTGGAAATCAAAGCAATTCTGTGTTATTCCAAACTAAGTATTCCAGTAATTATATCTTGTAAAACTGCATCATATCACTTAACATTAAGCCTTCTTTAAAACAGTGTTTCGACGCGTAAGTGACGGTTGTTTCTAAGAATAGAAGATCGGGAAAGTTAACCAAATAAATCTATAGAGAGTTAGAGGTATATTTTCTTATTAAGCGGTTTTCTTATTTTTAATGTATTCTATCGTGGGTAAATTTCATTTTCTTTTTTTTTTGACACTCTTTAAACGATTTATCTAAAACATGTAAAAATGACATATTTAACCTTAAGAAAAGTTGAAGGCCGCTTTAAAAGAGTTTAAATTTTTTGATTGTGATATAAAGCCTAAAAATAAAGGAACGCTAGCACTAAAAGTCGAAAATGTCGCAGACTTGTGTTTATCGAGACTGTTTAAGAACGATAGTATTAAATACAAGCTACTGGCCATGCCTCCCCTACACCGGCTTTAACAGGATATTCTACAGAGTATATATATTTGTTATGTATGTAAATGTAGCTTTATACATGTATATTCATGTAATTAACTATATTGATATAAATGTATCTTACAACCTTATGTAACAAATGTTAACCTGAAAAGATTTTGATATCAAGTCCAAAGTTACAGAAAATATCATAATTTTATAATTACATTGTATGTAAATATTGAACGTAAGGTACTCGTAACGTATTTACCTATGCAAATATTGAACGTAAAGCAATCGTAACGTACTTACGAGTATATATGTGACTATTGAAAGTAAGGTACTCGTAACGTACCCATATATGTTAATATTGAACGTTAGGTACTCTTAACGTATTTTTAAATGTAACTATCGAAAGTAAGGTACTTATAATGCAATTATATATGTATTGGATGTAAGGTACTTACAAATGTAACTATTGATCGTAAAGTACTCGTTACGTACTTTTAAATGTAACAATTTAAAGTAAGGAACTTGTAACGTTCTTATATATGTAAATATAGAACGTAAGGTACTAATAACGTATTTATATATGAAACAATTGAGCTTTAGACACACGTAACGTACTTATAAATGTATCTGTTGAAAGTAAGGCACTCGTAACGTTCTTATAAATTTAACTATTGAAAGTAAGGTACTAGTAACGTACTGATGATATACGTCAATATTGAAAGTAAGGTACTCGTAACGTACTTATATATGCAAATATTGAACATATGGTAATCGAAACTTAACTATATGCGTAAATATTGAACGTAATGTACACGTAACATAATTATATATGTAACTTTTGAAAGTAATATACATGTAACGAACTTATATATGTAACTATTAAAAGTAGGGTACTCGTACACTTTTTATTTAACCAGTAACATAAAACAAATGCGTTAAATATCGACTCCTATTGGCTATGTTTAAACTGAAATATATTAAGCATCATGTGATATGGCATTTTATCTTAACTGCTGGTTTGCACCAGGGTTCATAACTATCATATATCACATCTTTACACATCACGCAGACAATTAAATTAGCATTGGTATTTGATATTTTTAGGATTAAAGCATTGAACTAGGAGTGCCTTTGAATTAGATATGTTATTGGATGAAGTATGACCTTCAGGAGGTGCGGGAGGGCTTTTTTCCAATCATAATACTTCCCGCTTAATAATTTACCTGATACGGAAACTGTGTAAAATAAATCGTCATTCAAGCGAGAGAGAGAATGTAAAAAAGGTGTATAACTATATCATCATTGGGTTAAACCATTATCTAAAGAGGTTATTGTGTTTGCAATGTAGACATAAACACATCTGGATGTTTCTTAATTCAAAATTTGACCATTTCATGTTTAAATGTTGAATGTTGCTAAAGCCGGTGCTAGGGGGGTTGGACTGTAGTTTGCACATGACAGTACTGGCCATGAATAGACTCAATCAAACCGAACCTGCAGCATTTTCAATTTTGTCGTTTTGGGCATTCTTTAGGGATTCTGTTTTTTCTGTCTATTTTACATAGAAAACGTATCTGGTTTAAATGAGAAATAATACAAAATTTAACTTGTAAACATATGATAAATAATTCAATAAGTTCAGCATGTCATCACGTGATGTAGCACGTGTTGTAACACGTGATGTCACTCACCTCTTCTTATTTTGTTGTGTATCGCAAGATATTGCTAGCACTAGACATTAAACACGAAATTCCTTCCTATCTATCCTTATGTTTTAGGTTTCGTCATAGACCAGAAACTAACCTTTTGTTTTGTTTTGCCTAAGCAATGTAAAGCTAATAGTGATCGATGACAGTAATTTGATAGAACACAAAAACGTCTTTTCTTATGATAAAGATCATTTTCTCATTCCTTGCAATCAAAGAGAATCCAGCTGACAACAATTATTTGTGTCCTTGAGGTTGCTTATTGTAAGTTCGTCTCGTTTATCATTGCAATATAACGTATATGTATTTATTTCCCTTGTACAAGAAAGGATGCAAAGAATTATAGATTTAAGAGGACAATGCCTTTCGTTTTTGTAGAAACGGAATTAGTGAGGACAATGCCTTGTATGTTGTTGACCATGATTTATATTATAATGTCGGTTGAAATCAATTTATCAACAACCATTAGCCCTATTTTGCGTTAACTTGTAAACTTAAGGCTTTCTTTTCATAGTAAGAATTATCTGTGAAAGTAGTCCTTTAAGTGAAATTGCTTGGCCAATAATTGATAAAGGCACATAAATAAAACTGTTTAAAATATGAAAGACTGTTCCAAAATTATAACTAAATGTAAAGTTGTTTTGACTTTTTCCTGTACACTTTTAGATAAGAAAAAAACAACATCAGTTTTTTTTAAATAAATTGCCTGTCGGGTGTTATTTTAACCTAAAGAAATATAAATAAGAGACTAGAACTGCGATCAAAAGTGTGCGCTTCTGTATTGCACTGTACAACATGAGTACATGTACAATTATCTGGTATTTT